ATTGCAGCACATTTGAGTGTTGAATGTTCTTGAATTTTGTAGTTGCACACGTGGCTTGCATTTCCAACAAACCCTGTTCTTTACTCCCACTCTGCATCTTGTGCACTGTGGCAGAAAGAAACGGACGGCGATGAGAGTGTGTGAGCCAAAAGCAACGAGACTGACAATCGCCATCGTAAAGCAGGCTTGTCAGGAAGCCTCCCTTACCGCTGCATAGGCCAACCGCACTACATTCACACATGGTGCGCTCCTCCACACAGAGCAGCCAACAATGAAGAGTTGTGCTGGATTGCAACTCTTGGTGATGCACACTGCTTGGGTCACTGGCTTATCTCAAAGTGAATGTGTTCAGAAAGAAAGAACAAAAGAGTGCACATAAACAGCATTGAGCAGGGACCCTGATAGCCCCGAGATCGTTGAGGTTCGCATGGCCCCGAGCTGCAATGACCCCTCTCCTTGACCGCTGCGGATAAATCGACGGCACGTATCAATGCCAATCTGGTGACGCCACCCAGACACAGCCGACGGTCTAAGCTTGGAGTTTGACGATTGCCCTTTGGAAAGGGCTTACGGTACAGCCCTGCGAATCTACCCGCCCAATGGCAGGCTGAACATGTAATTACAATTACATATTCAGGCACGTCACCAAGTGACAAAATACCCACGTTGTCCAAATGTCAAACGAACACATGTCCAACCAAAACCAATACACGAAGGTTTCCGTCAATCCCAAACAGGGTATATCACCCGTAGTCCAAGTAGTGCCCCCCTCCAAACAATACGGCCCGAGCAAAGGAGACGCCAAAGCACAGGGCCGGAAAAGTACACCGGGGGGCGAGAGGCACCCCGTCAGGGAGGCCCAACAGCAGGAGGAGACGTCGCAGAGAAGATGTCGCGAATCTCGTCCCGAATGGAGTCGGCCACTACGAGCATCCAGCCAAACAGCCGATAGTCATACTCCGTAGGCCGCCGCTGCAGATCCACGTACTTCCAAAGGGCAGCGGACCCTGGGGCCCACCACCCCCAATTGCGCACCTGGGCCTTGGGCACCAGCACGGAAAACGCGGAAGACACGCCCGTGCGGTGCACACAGTGGTGCCGGTAGTCTTGGCCCACCGCCGTGAGGTGCCGCGCAGCCTCGAGGAACCAAGACTGCACAGCGCGGGCGGAAGGGGGGGGCATCCGAGGGAAGGCCGTAGAAAAACTCGATATGGCCGTGCCGGTTAGGCAGACGCTGGGCCCGGCAGGCGTCACGGAGGCGGGTCCAATGGCGGATGACCCGAGGCAGGTCGGGGAAGCCGCGGAAGTCGAAGGCCTGTATGCGCCAGAGGAGGGCCCGCGTAGACTTCGATTTGTGGCGCCGTTCCCGGAAGAAGAGATGGGTGGGGAAGGTGGCCGTAGAGTCGCCAGCAGGGTTGCCGAGCCAGAGGTCATCAAGGAAAATGTTGAAGCCAGAGTCCGCCCGTGAAAAGAAGACGGTGTCCAGGATGAGGGACACAAACGGGCGGACCCGGTAAGGATTGGACTCGGCCAACGCCAGGGTAGCCAAGCGGAAAAGATCGCCTGCCGGAAAGGCGAAGATGGAGTCCCGGTAGGCGGCAGGAGGAGCAGACCCGCCAGGCCCGCAAGAGGTGGGAAGTCACCGCGTCATGCGCACACCCGCCGGTCAGGCCCGCCCATGAATGGACCGTGGAGATGGCCGAAAGGTAGCTCCCTGCAGAGTCCACGGACACCCGGCCCTCGGCCTTGAGGTAGAAGACATAGGTGTACAGCATTTCTGGGGTCGTGGGGAGCGCCCGCCAGCCACGGTCGGTGCACATGCGGGCGAACTTCAAAAACTTGCGCCAAATGGCTTCCCAGCTGGAGGGGGCGTCGGCATCCACCAGCGCTTGCATCACGGCCAGCCGTTCAGCAAGGCTGAGCCGCGGAAGGTCCAGCAAAAAATCCATTATGCGCAGCAGGCCGCAGAGGATGGAGGCCGTCAAGTCCGAGCAGGGGGGGAGACCAATGGGAAGGCAGGGCGGGGAGAAGCGCAGCGATCGATGCGCACCGCCAGGACCCGCCAACGAGGAGGGCCCAAGGAGGTGCCCGTCCGCCCTGCCGTGAAAAGATCTGGCATCACCGGGAGCTCCCAGGTCGTGGAGGAGAGCTGCAGGAGGCGCCGAAACCAGGGCGCGGCAGGCCAGATCGGTGCAAGCACCGTCGCGCGCACCATAGGGAGGGACTCCAGCAGACTCACTAACCGAGTGAGGAGGGAGAACGGGGGGTTACACCGGTTGTTGTGCAATCCCCAGTCGGTCTAGGCGAAGGCGTCGATCCCGCTCGTCATCGGGCACCACCAGCAACTGTTGAATGTAGGCACCCGACAATTGATCGTCGTCGCGAACCGGTCGATCGTGTACGGGCCCCAAGTTTGGTAGAGAGCTTGGAACGCCCGCGGGTGGAGGGCCCAGTCCTCCGTTCCCGCGCCCGACTCAAAGAGTCCGCCAGCAGATTGGACTCGGTCGCCCATACGGGGTTGATCGAGAGGCGAAGCGTCGACGCGAGGTAATGGACCCGGCGAAGAGCGTCTATGAGGGGCGTCGAGCGGGAGGTCCCCGCGTCGAGGACGCATTTGACGACCATGGAGTTGGTGTAGAGGTTGATCCTCCCCCATGATCCGCTGGCGGAACGATTGCAGCGCCAGACCCACCGCGCGCATCTCGAGCACATTTATGTGCAAGGCGCGGGCCGGCAGGGGCTAAAAACTGTCGAGCCAGCATGGGGGTCGGACCCTGGGAGGGAAGGACCAGCTGTAAGGGGCGTGGAGCCTTGACGGCAACTCCAACACCCGTTGGTCCAAACTCGGACCCAAGGAATTTCTGAAAACTCACGATTACAAACTGGGCGGAGGTCACCCGTATTTATAGGTGCCCGCCCGGGAATCCCAAGGGTCATGCCAGAAATTGGTGAGTCATCCCCAATTCTGGCATACCCGCCAACTTGTGTTCATGTTTGTATCCCGTCCGCATTGTCATTGGTCCCAAGGTTCCCAGCTTAAGCCTTTATGCAAACGTTCCCAAACTCATCAAGCGCAGCTCCCACCTGACCCAAAAGCTACCGTGTGTTACCAACACGGGGTTTGATACCCATCTACTAGTAATCCTTTTAAAACGCTGATTGTTGCCATCACACTAGCGAAGCCCCCCAACCGTAGGGGGAGCTGTCCGTATGTAGAGTGGCGGTCGCCGGCGGCTGCCAGAGGACCGACGTGGACGTCCTGGGACCCAAACGGGCCCAGAACGCCAAGTCCCGCAGCGACTGGCGACAAAGGCGGAGAGTCCCTGTTATGACCTATTCTGGTTGAGTGTCTCCTAGTTAGGTCATGACATGTAGCTGCCTTAGTTTGGTGGATAGGCCGGGCTTTGTGGATACAATCTAGTGGGTTAGGTTGTTTCCATTTGATTAAACTTATTGCTATCATTATGCTACGATTATATTGAGGTCACGCTTCCATTGTAATTGAATCTTTTCCCGGTTCACGGTCTCCGCGCACCCTCCCTCCTGTACGTGCATCCTGGGCGGCACCCTTCGAGGGGCACCCAACAGTCCCCCGCCAGCTCGTCTTCGTCGATAGATCATCGTAGAGGCTCCGGAGGAAGAACCGGGCAGTGGGCACTGGGAGTGCCAGGCTTTGGCCGCGGCCACAAAAGCGGGCAAGAAGCCGCGCCGGGATCGGGTGGCGATGGCAGGCCAGGAGGGCGGACGCCTCCGCGCGGATGGCCGCAACCTTGGCGGGGGGGGCGATGATCAACCCCGCCTTGGTGTCCAAGATCATGCCCAACTATGATCCAATCCCAAAGCCGTCCCCGTTCATTCACTACCGCCAATTCCCCTTAACTGGCTCCCCTATCATACGTACAACCCCACTCCCCACAGTACCACACTGGCATTGAACCCAAACGTAATTCCTGGGATCAGCACCGGCGAGCCGGCGCTGATCCGGCGCACGACGCTGCGAGGTCCATGTTGGCGCTGGCACTCAGCAACAGCCTTCTACCCGCGACGGATTTGACGACCTCCTACACCCCCAATCCCCGTCATGCCCTTCCTGTTGTTGGCCAGGTCGCCAGTCCCCAACCCTAGGCCTGGTCGTAGGGCGCGCCACGTCGCCGGCCTCTGCTCCTTGTCCACCCTCTCCGCCCCCACTGGTTGGTTGCAGTCGTGCGCGACGCACGGAAACCGTGGCCGCGTCAACCGTCAGCCCATGTGTCGGCGGGCACAGACCTGGATTCCAATCAAGGTCATTGTCCTGCGCTGTAGGTGCCATGCTGGCCGCCCGATTACTGCCACAGGGAGTTCAGGTCCAGTCATGCCGAACGGCGTTCTTTTGGCGCCATACCCGCGACGGATTTGACGACCTCCTACACCCCCAATCCCCGTCATGCCCTTCCTGTTGTTGGCCAGGTCGCCAGTCCCCAACCCTAGGCCTGGTCGTAGGGCGCGCCACGTCGCCGGCCTCTGCTCCTTGTCCACCCTCTCCGCCCCCACTGGTTGGTTGCAGTCGTGCGCGACGCACGGAAACCGTGGCCGCGTCAACCGTCAGCCCATGTGTCGGCGGGCACAGACCTGGATTCCAATCAAGGTCATTGTCCTGCGCTGTAGGTGCCATGCTGGCCGCCCGATTACTGCCACAGGGAGTTCAGGTCCAGTCATGCCGAACGGCGTTCTTTTGGCGCCATAGAACGGTATCAAGAGGGCACAGCACTGCTGCTGTTCCGGAACCTAGTGCAGAAGCTGTCGCGAAAATCCAGCGCTTGGAAGCCGTCGCCGGCAGGGAAGTGGGGAGGGGAATCGCCCCCCTTCTGGATCACTTCAGGGGGGGGCTGCTTGCGGCCGCTCGGTCAATCGCAGCCCACCCCTTGCCCTCTCTTGCCGTCATAACCGGATTCTACATTCCCAGGGGTGAGGCGGCCGAGACTGATGGCATCACGGCGGCGGCACAGCTTGCGTGCGGTTTGATGTGCGCCGGCGTTCCGGTTTGCATGGTCACGGACATGAACTGCGCCTCGGCCTTGCGCGTTGCCCTGAGAGAGGCAGGGCAACGGAGCCCCGGTGTCATTGCATTGCCGGTTCAGTGCCCTGACCCTGAAATGGGCAGTTTGGTGAGCAGCATATTGAGTGATTGGGAGAGCCCCGACAGTGGAGGTGCTCCTGTTAGCCACGTGCTGGCAGTCGAACGTGCAGGCCCAGCTGCAGATGGTCGAGTGTACAACATGAGCAAACAAGACATAACATGCTACAATGCCCCCCTTCATTTGCTTTATGGACGGCATGGCAGCAGGCATCGAGTGGCAATAGGGGATGGTGGGAATGAGCTTGGGATGGGACTAGTGCCACGAAATTTGCTGGAGAACGTCAGGCATGGGACGCACATTGCATGCGATATCCCGTGTGAAACGCTTGTAGTGAGCGGGGTGTCAAACTGGGGCGTTTGGAGTCTGATGGGTGCCTTGGCGGTACTCAAAAAATCTTGGAAACCATGCTTGGTTGAAAGCATCAGTGAAGAAGTCAGTTTGAGAGTTCTCAAAAAAACTGTTGCTGAAGGTCCAGCTGTGGATGGAGTGACAGGAAAACGTACATTTTCCGTTGATGGCCTACCCTGGCAGGAGCATGCTAAGGTCCTTGATGAAATCAGAAACATTGTGTCAGAATAGCACACAATTCCATTCCTGTGTGCATGCGATTGTCACCATGTTGCTCCCCCTGCCTGCAATGACTGTGAAGTTTGAAGCCCTATGCAGACAGTGACAGGGCAAGCACATTACCTTGAGTGTTGGCTATCTAGTGCGGTTGTGTGGAATGTATGCCACAGGTAACATAAAACACAGAAGGCAAGTGGACACTCTACTAGGGTGAGACAGGAACAATGGCATCATGCATACCCCCAATTGCAGCACATTTGAGTGTTGAATGTTCTTGAATTTTGTAGTTGCACACGTGGCTTGCATTTCCAACAAACCCTGTTCTTTACTCCCACTCTGCATCTTGTGCACTGTGGCAGAAAGAAACGGACGGCGATGAGAGTGTGTGAGCCAAAAGCAACGAGACTGACAATCGCCATCGTAAAGCAGGCTTGTCAGGAAGCCTCCCTTACCGCTGCATAGGCCAACCGCACTACATTCACACATGGTGCGCTCCTCCACACAGAGCAGCCAACAATGAAGAGTTGTGCTGGATTGCAACTCTTGGTGATGCACACTGCTTGGGTCACTGGCTTATCTCAAAGTGAATGTGTCCAGAAAGAAAGAACAAAAGAGTGCACATAAACAGCATTGAGCAGGGACCCTGATAGCCCCGAGATCGTTGAGGTTCGCATGGCCCCGAGCTGCAATGACCCCTCTCCTTGACCGCTGCGGATAAATCGACGGCACGTATCAATGCCAATCTGGTGACGCCACCCAGACACAGCCGACGGTCTAAGCTTGGAGTTTGACGATTGCCCTTTGGAAAGGGCTTACGGTACAGCCCTGCGAATCTACCCGCCCAATGGCAGGCTGAACATGTAATTACAATTACATATTCAGGCACGTCACCAAGTGACAAAATACCCACGTTGTCCAAATGTCAAACGAACACATGTCCAACCAAAACCAATACACGAAGGTTTCCGTCAATCCCAAACAGGGTATATCACCCGTAGTCCAAGTAGTGCCCCCCTCCAAACAATACGGCCCGAGCAAAGGAGACGCCAAAGCACAGGGCCGGAAAAGTACACCGGGGGGCGAGAGGCACCCCGTCAGGGAGGCCCAACAGCAGGAGGAGACGTCGCAGAGAAGATGTCGCGAATCTCGTCCCGAATGGAGTCGGCCACTACGAGCATCCAGCCAAACAGCCGATAGTCATACTCCGTAGGCCGCCGCTGCAGATCCACGTACTTCCAAAGGGCAGCGGACCCTGGGGCCCACCACCCCCAATTGCGCACCTGGGCCTTGGGCACCAGCACGGAAAACGCGGAAGACACGCCCGTGCGGTGCACACAGTGGTGCCGGTAGTCTTGGCCCACCGCCGTGAGGTGCCGCGCAGCCTCGAGGAACCAAGACTGCACAGCGCGGGCGGAAGGGGGTGGGCATCCGAGGGAAGGCCGTAGAAAAACTCGATATGGCCGTGCCGGTTAGGCAGACGCTGGGCCCGGCAGGCGTCACGGAGGCGGGTCCAATGGCGGATGACCCGAGGCAGGTCGGGGAAGCCGCGGAAGTCGAAGGCCTGTATGCGCCAGAGGAGGGCCCGCGTAGACTTCGATTTGTGGCGCCGTTCCCGGAAGAAGAGATGGGTGGGGAAGGTGGCCGTAGAGTCGCCAGCAGGGTTGCCGAGCCAGAGGTCATCAAGGAAAATGTTGAAGCCAGAGTCCGCCCGCGAAAAGAAGACGGTGTCCAGGATGAGGGACACAAACGGGCGGACCCGGTAAGGATTGGACTCGGCCAACGCCAGGGTAGCCAAACGGAAAAGATCGCCTGCCGGAAAGGCGAGGATGGAGTCCTGGTAGGCGGCAGGAGGAGCATTGACCCGCCAGGCCCGCAAGAGGTGGGAAGTCACCGCGTCATGCGCACACCCGCCGGTCAGGCCCGCCCATGAATGGACCGTGGAGATGGCCGAAAGGTAGCTCCCTGCAGAGTCCACGGACACCCGGCCCTCGGCCTTGAGGTAGAAGACATAGGTGTACAGCATTTCTGGGGTCGTGGGGAGCGCCCGCCAGCCACGGTCGGTGCACATGCGGGCGAACTTCAAAAACTTGCGCCAAATGGCTTCCCAGCTGGAGGGGGCGTCGGCATCCACCAGCGCTTGCATCACGGCCAGCCGTTCAGCAAGGCTGAGCCGCGGAAGGTCCAGCAAAAAATCCGTTATGCGCAGCAGGCCGCAGAGGATGGAGGCCGTCAAGTCCGAGCAGGGGGGGAGACCAATGGGAAGGCAGGGCGGGGAGAAGCGCAGCGATCGATGCGCACCGCCAGGACCCGCCAACGAGGAGGGCCCAAGGAGGTGCCCGTCCGCCCTGCCGTGAAAAGATCTGGCATCACCGGGAGCTCCCAGGTCGCGGAGGAGAGCTGCAGGAGGCGCCGAAACCAGGGCGCGGCAGGCCAGATCGGTGCAAGCACCGTCGTGCGCACCATAGGGAGGGACTCCAGCAGACTCACTAACCGAGTGAGGAGGGAGAACGGGGGGTTACACCGGTTGTTGTGCAATCCCCAGTCGGTCTAGGCGAAGGCGTCGATCCCGCTCGTCATCGGGCACCACCAGCAACTGTTGAATGTAGGCACCCGACAATTGATCGTCGTCGCGAACCGGTCGATCGTGTACGGGCCCCAAGTTTGGTAGAGAGCTTGGAACGCCCGCGGGTGGAGGGCCCAGTCCTCCGTGTCCCGCGCCCGACTCAAAGAGTCCGCCAGCAGATTGGACTCGGTCGGTAGCCATACGGGGTTGATCGAGAGGCGAAGCGTCGACGCGAGGTAATGGACCCGGCGAAGAGCGTCTATGAGGGGCGTCGAGCGGGAGGTCCCCGCGTCGAGGACGCATTTGACGACCATGGAGTTGGTGTAGAGGTTGATCCTCCGGCCCATGATCCGCTGGCGGAACGATTGCAGCGCCAGACCCACCGCGCGCATCTCGAGCACATTTATGTGCAAGGCGCGGGCCGGCAGGGGCTAAAAACCCTGAGCCAGCATGGGGGTCGGACCCTGGGAGGGAAGGACCAGCTGTAAGGGGCGTGGAGCCTTGACGGCAACTCCAACACCCGTTGGTCCAAACTCGGACCCAAGGAACGGGAAAACTCACGATTACAAACTGGGCGGAGGTCACCCGTATTTATAGGTGCCCGCCCGGGAATCCCAAGGGTCATGCCAGAAATTGGTGAGTCATCCCCAATTCTGGCATACCCGCCAACTTGTGTTCAAATGTTTGTATCCCGTCCGCATTGTCATTGGTCCCAAGGTTCCCACAACGCTTAAGCCTTTATGCAAACGTTCCCAAACTCATCAAGCGCAGCTCCCACCTGACCCAAAAGCTACCGTGTGTTACCAACACGGGGTTTGATACCCATCTACTAGTAATCCTTTTAAAACGCTGATTGTTGCCATCACACTAGCGAAGCCCCCCAACCGTAGGGGGAGCTGTCCGTATGTAGAGTGGCGGTCGCCGGCGGCTGCCAGAGGACCGACGTGGACGTCCTGGGACCCAAACGGGCCCAGAACGCCAAGTCCCGCAGCGACTGGCGACAAAGGCGGAGAGTCCCTGTTATGACCTATTCTGGTTGAGTGTCTCCTAGTTAGGTCATGACATGTAGCTGCCTTAGTTTGGTGGATAGGCCGGGCTTTGTGGATACAATCTAGTGGGTTAGGTTGTTTCCATTTGATTAAACTTATTGCTATCATTATGCTACGATTATATTGAGGTCACGCTTCCATTGTAATTGAATCTTTTCCCGGTTCACGGTCTCCGCGCACCCTCCCTCCTGTACGTGCATCCTGGGCGGCACCCTTCGAGGGGCACCCAACAGTCCCCCGCCAGCTCGTCTTCGTCGATAGATCATCGTAGAGGCTCCGGAGGAAGAACCGGGCAGTGGGCACTGGGAGTGCCAGGCTTTGGCCGCGGCCACAAAAGCGGGCAAGAAGCCGCGCCGGGATCGGGTGGCGATGGCAGGCCAGGAGGGCGGACGCCTCCGCGCGGATGGCCGCAACCTTGGCGGGGGGGGCGATGATCAACCCCGCCTTGGTGTCCAAGATCATGCCGAGGTGAGGCAGGACCTGGGTCGGCTCCTAGGTGCACTTCGAGGGCTTGATCATCAGGCCCAGCGCCGCAAGAATGCCCCACACCAGCATCCCCCATTTCCGCGTCGCAGATCGGCCCCGGAGGCCCCCCGCAAAATCGTCCATGTAAGGGGAGAGCGTGGGGGCCGGGTTCGCATCCCAGTAGGCTGCGAGGGCGGGGTGCCGGGGGCGACGGGGGGCGCTCGTGCGGGGGGCGCGGAGAAAGGCCACCACCAGGCGCATCAGCTTGGTGAAGACGGGTGGGGAATTCTTCCACCCGAACGTTAATCCAGGGGCTTCAAAGAGCTCCTCGTTGATCTGAAACTGAAAGTAGGACACGTAGCGGTCCTCGATCCGCAGATGGTGGAACGCATCGCGGATGTCCCAGGATACAAGGAATTGGCCCGGCTGGAGGGTGGGAAGGAAGGAGCGGAGGGTCTCGAACTTGGTGCTGATCTTGCTCGTATGGCTGTTGATGTGGCGCAGATCCACCACCAAGCGGAAGCCGCCGTCCTTCTTCGGCACCAGGAAAGCCCGGGAGACATGGGTCGGGGGGCTGCGGGAGCGCCGGAGAGCGCCGGTCTGCAGGTAAGTGTCCCGCAGCGTCTCCCATGCCGTGAGGGCAGGCCCCGCCAGCCGGCAAACGCCGTGGTGAAACGGGGCAGGCGGGCGCCCCGTCCAAACAACCGGGACACCCTCCCGGATCCACCGCAAGACGAGGGAGGAGGCTCCCAGTTGTCGCCACACTCCGATCGCCCGGGTGGGGTTGAAGATGAAGTGCCCCATTCCCCGGAGGGGGGCGGGGTGGCGGAGGCCCCGGCCGGAGGGCCCCCGTCGGGGGGGCAAACCCATTGCCGGGGGGCATTGCCGCCGCCAACGCGCAGCTGGCGCCAGCCTGGCGCAAGGCCGCGGCGATGGCAAGGAGCTCCCGCTCGGAGCTTATGAATCGGAGAAAGGATTGCCGGAGGGAGGGGGCACACCCCGACCCCGACTGGAGCCCTGTCCGCGTCCGCGCGAACGACCGCGGTGACCGGACCCCGAGGCCCCGTCCGAGTGGGAGCCGGAGCAGTCGGTAGTGCGGCCCGAATGATGGGCCCGGGCGGCGCCGTCCGCCTGCGCCTTGACGGTGGCCTTTTGGATCTGGGTGCGGATCAAGGATGTCGTCTCGCGCTCGAGGTCGGTGGTGTAGCGGGCCGCCGATCCCACCAGCTGAATGTTGGTCTGGAGCGACTTGTACGCCTTGGAGAGAGGCGTATTCGCGTGGGCCGCTTGCGTCCGCCGAACCGCCAAGGTAGAGACGGCAAGGTTGGTGCACTTGGCATAGAGGGAGACAAGGGGCTCCAAGGCCGCACAGACGGCGGGGGGGACCTCCGGGCACACCGCCAAGGCGATGAGGCGGAGCTGCAGGTCGCAATAGAAGGAAACGACCGGCGCCCAATTGGCGTACTCCGCAAAGTAGCCCGATCGAGGCCCTAAGGCCTGGGCGAGGTGTTGACCGTCGGCAGTGTCGAGGACGTCGAACCACTGGCCGAACTCCACGGGGGGGCGAGGCACCGGGTTCCGCGGAGAGGTGTCGATGTTGGCGCCCGATCGGAGCACCAAAAGCTTGGAGAGTGGGAGCTCTTGCGGGGCCCCGAACTGCTAGGCCAAGGCCGCAAGCCGACGGGAAGAGTCCTCGGCGGCCGCAGCCGCGAGCGCTTCGGCCGTCTGGGGCTCCGTGGGGGCCGATGAAGAGGCCCCGCCGGAGCGAGTAAGAAGGGCTTGGAGCGCCGCCACCAAAGCCTCGGGGCTGAGGGCGGGCTCCTCGGGCATGGGGAGCAAAGCGATAGCCAGGGGCTCCAAAGGGGTGCAAAACACGAGCGGAAAGCTCGGCGCAACAGATCCTTTCGGAGGATCGAAGCAATGTTCCCGATTGGGACCGGGCTCGCTGCAACCAAGAGCGGTTGGAGCAAGAAAACAAAGTACAGCTGTACGGCGCGTCTCCTCCTAAGGCGTCGCCGCCGCCAGGCACGTCCCCCGTCAAGCCGTGGGCCGGCACCAAGGAACTTTTCCCGCCTGGGGCCCAGTACCCGACTGTTCGCGCCCAAACTGCCCAGGCGCTGACGGGGCACAGCCCGGCCAGCAATTTTTTCGCCCGCCCCTTCTCCGGGCCTCCCGTAAACTTGCTTACTAAGCGTAACCGTCCCTTCTTGGTCAGATGTCATTGCGTCCGAACGGACCGCCGTATTTTGGCAGACAAGAGAACCGGAACTCAAGTCTGAAGGGCCCTTGATGACACTTCATCTACCTCTCAGACACAAGACGAAATTCTGACCCCACAGGGACCTCCTTCCGTGCCCCGGAAAGTGTGGGTGGTGCCAAGGCGAAATCTTGCCCAGAGGCCAGCAGGGCCTTTGGGCGCGCCTGACCGCGGTCCCTGGCAAAGCCCCTTTGCAGTTTGGGCCCTGGCGGCACCGGCTTGTACGTGCGAATCGGTCTCGGCCATTTCGCTGCTTTTGTTTCATGTCGTCGGCAGCAGCCGATCACAGCGACCGTGCAACGGACGGGCACTACACGGTGTGGGAGCTGGCCAGCCGATACCTGGAGCCCGAGTCGCTGCAGCCCTTCGCCTTGACCTCTAGGATCCACAGGGACATCCTCAGGTCGGCGGCCAAGAGCGGCCAGTTCTGGTGTGGCCTGAAGCAGAACGCCCTGCGCGCCGCGGTCCAGAATTTTGACGACGAGTCGCTGCTGGTGTTGAGGACGCTGGAGGCGTCTCCGCTCGCCTCCGAAGGGACGGATCAGGCAGCGAATGATGCGGAAAGTCCGGCCAGCTCCAGCGGGCCACCCCACGCGTGCACGGAGGAGCCCATCGTCCGGCGGTTCCTGAGGCTGTGCTACAAACCCCTGCGCCGCGTGGCGCACTGCCAGACGATGCTCGTGTTCAAAAACGTTCGAGAGGCGGCCTCAGAAGAGGACGCGCCGCTGTGCGCAACCAGGGTGCGTTCCATGGTGCAGAGGGCCGCGGGGATGGATGTCGCAATCAAGGCCGCGTACAGGATGGATGGTGGGGCGGCGTCGTCCGGGTGGCGGTCGTCGAGCTCGGGGGGGCAGCACCACGTGGACAAGATCGTGGGCGTGAGCCAGGGCAGGCGGGGTGCGCCGCCCAGGGGGCCCAGGCGGCCGCTGTTGGTGGTGTTTCAGAACAGGCGCGACGCGCAACTCGTGTACTCCAGGAGGGGGCAGCTGAGGAAGCGCGACAGGGTGTACCTGGAACGGTGCAGCATGCCCTGGGACAGCGGCGCCTGGCGGCTGGCGTGGGAGCACGCGGTGTGAATGGGGGACGTGCCAATGGGTTGGGTGCAAAGCATGCGGCGTCCACGGGCCAAGGCATTTTCGCGTTGAATCATTTGGGCAGCGATTGCCAGGTGGCACGAGGGCAGCATCTGGACGTCGTCTCCGCTTTCAGTTTCATCCCCATCCAGGGGCAGTGAGAATAGACGGTGGCCCTTTTCAGCAACAAGCAGTGTGGTTGGATCTTTCCTCGTTGCAGCGATTGGTGGTGTACCAACAGGCCTTTCTGCCAGAGAAGAACGGAAAAAGGAAGTCCGTGGTCTTCTTCCCTTATGTCTATTCAAGCTCAGGTTCCGTTTTCGGTCTGGTCGAAGCCGGTGCTGCACCAAACGATTGAATGTACAACACTTATGCAATGGCTATTTACAGAGATTTGTAGAATTGTATTCCATTGAAGTATGGGGGATATTCGTTGGGAGGAAGGCTGCCAAGAGTTGTTTGCGTGCTAGAGCAGTTGTTGGCATGGACATGCAGCCACTGCTGTCAGCTAGAGGAGTGGATACTTCACGACAGTGAAAATGGCACATTCTCCTCCCACATTGTACATTCCAATGCAAGGGTAGAGTAGGCAGGTGACAAGGATGTGGCCATCTTCAATACCAGATGCCGCCATACCATTGTATGTTGTTCTGTGGTGACTGGATGTGAAAACTGGGCAAAGGGTTCGTGCACATGGCTGGCTACTTTGGACAATGTGCCCATGTGCAGCTGTCAATGTGGCTCTTGAATATATGTTGCTTTGGATCGTGTCAACACAAACAGATTGGCACACAGACTGGCAAACAGATTGCATAAAGCTGCTGCAACGGCTATGGCTGAAGCAGACCATCTGTGCCAAGGGCTGTGCATCAGCATATGTCGTATTGACTGCCAGGTACAGTCTTTCATACAGCTGCTCTTCCTGCCACAGAACATTATGAAGCATATAATGAAATCAACAAAAGGTGCAGCAATTTACTGACGGTGCCCCTTCATAACAATGGTGAGCCACCATTGTGGAGGTTGGCATACAGCAATGTCTTAAGTGTTCAAGACGTGATGAGTGCACGCGCTGCTCCTGGCTACTGGCATATACACAACCAGTCGTCAGAAACTGAGACAGACTGCATCACAGATACCCTCCTCCAAGTCCACAGCCTTGTCCAGACAAGGGCAACTTTGCACAACTGCTAGTTGATGCTCTGCACAGTACGATCCATCATTGGAACAAATCCAACAATACGGATCCAGGATCATGGTCACTCAACATTGCACCTGGGCAGCAGACAACCATATAGACCTACACCACAAGGGATGAAACCGAGATGCACATTTTAATCGTCATGCAGTGCCAGCTGGGAGTTGCAGTCCTCTGGAGGCTGTGCGTATCGTTGCCCAATAGATTCGCCTTACACCGCTGTCCACACAACAAGCAAAGACATATTGCAGCCTGCTCCTTCACTCCACAACACGTCGTTGCCCTAGACAGCCTTGGCCCGCCAGTCCAGCACTATGTCTGCCTCGTCTCCCGTTGAGCCGTCGTCGTCGCTTACCACTGGCAGGTCCAACTTCCAATAGCGTCTCTTTTCCAAGCCCCCATTCCCCTCATGGCGCCCTGTCAAAGCCGCCAACGTTGCATTCTTTTTAGCCTTCATCCTGTCAACAAGTTTGAGCCTGTGCTCCTGATCCAAGGCCTCCCTCTCTTGCCTGTCCAGGGCGCTGGCCTCGGCCTCCAGCTCCTCCTGTTTGGCCACTTCCTGCAGGTCCTGCGCGATGGACTTCTGGAAGTCCACAAACTCCTGCTCCTTGTCTTGCTGCGTTCTGGGCTTAACGCCCCTCGCCCTGGCATCCGCCTCCGCATCTTCAAAGAATCCTTCCGGAAGGGCCGCCCCGGGGGGCCTGGACGCCTTGGGAGCATCCATTCTTGGACGCTTGTTCTCGTGCCGCACTGCACCATCATTTTCGCCGCAAGGCTCAGAGTCGGGAGGCCTCAAGCCTGGGTGCACCCCATCCCGCGCATCAGCCTCCAGGGAGGCTTCCGCCTTGTCGGCGTTCAGCCCCAAAGCCTGGCTCTCTTGTGGCTCAGGCTGTGCTCTTTCCGGCTTTTTGACCCTGCGGTCCTTCGCTCGAACCGTGCCCCGCTTCGTTCGAGCCTCCCTGAACATCTTCTTTAGTTCCTGGGAGGGCATGGCTGCCAACTGCCACCGGGCCTTGAGGCTGGAAGAATTGTTGGGACGGACAATTCCGTTGTGGCACGGGGCCCAAAGCTTTTCAGCAGGGTCGCGCTCAAAGACGGCAGCTGCTGGTGCTGTACATTCAAGGATAAAAGGGTAGCGGGTCGCGGCGGACGCCGCGGCGGGTGTCCCGTGCTGGCAACGCAACGGTGCTCGTCCCGCGGGAACAAACACTGGACTCGGCCCCTTGCTTGCGAGGGGGGATAATGAGCACCGTGACCCTGTGGTGGATGACTGGAAGTGATTATCATCATTCATTTTTGCACAACAAGGCGGTGAGGTGGCCGCCAGCTTCCTAGTTTTGCCCAAGCAAGCAGTGTCTCTATGATCAGCTCATTGAAATCAACTGCAAGTGATCGCAGCCTGTCTGTCATGACCAGCGATGCGTTTGCAATTCAAAGTCTGCGGACATATCACTATTTTTCACCAGTGTGTCTTTTCCGCAAGGCATCTTGTGGGGATGTTGCGGGCTCTTTCCAACAAGTTTAGGCCAATCTCACCATCATTATGTTACTCTTTTCTATTGCACCGATTATCGGACTTGCAAATCTGCAGTTTGAACCAAAGCATGTTCACATTGATGATTAAAGTTGTGAAGAGTGCAGTGTCTGAACAACAACTTGGGAATGAAATACTTGGCATCCCTATGGCAGGATCTCCCGATTCTCTCTTTGCTTCTCATCTTTCTTTTGGTGGTCTATCAGTGATATACTATCATGCGTATGATCACACACGATATTAGAAGATCACGCATCCATGGAGCACCGCAAACAACGCCATCACCTGTGGTGCAACAATATACCAATGATGCCGAGTCACGCACTACCAACTCAGTTGTCATATATGGGGCAAGATCTGGCGTACGGTTCCCTCAATGTCGTTGGCAGTCCAGCCGCCTAGATTAATTTGACATGCCCCATTGGCAGTTGCATGATCATTAGGTTTTGCATGATAAGAAAATACCAAGAGCATCTTCTTCGACTCTCACTGCGTGCATACATTGACAATATTCATTTCCACCAATTTGGTGACGTCACCTAGACACGGCAAGTTCCATAATCATTGCATTTTGCGCAACATTTGGTTTGGTAAATGCATCCAAGAGAACTGATACGAAAATGTTGTGGGTGTGGGGCTCCTGCCCTCTTTGAGCCGCGGACCCGCCTCGCCGGGCATCTAGGTCCTTACGGGGACCTAGGCGGGACCATAGCTGGGCCCGTCTAAAGTTGGTAGGAACGGGAACGGCAACAGTGTCCGTTCCCGTCCCAGGGACGATCCGTTCCTGGGACGGGAACGGTGTCCGTTCCTGCCCCAGGAACGGCCCCGTTCCAGTCCGTTCCAGTCCGTCCCAAATCCGTCCCAAATCCGTCCTGAATCTGTCCGGCCCAAGGACGGGGACGGACTCCGGTCCGTCCCCGTTCCCGTTCCCGTCCCCGTTCCTAGTCCGTCCCCGTTCCTGGACGGCCCACCTCTGGGCGGGACCACCCCGTCCTACTCCCATATCCTAATAACTATAATAGTTACAATGGGATGAGGAATAGTTATCATATCTTGGGCAGGGCGTCCCCCACACCAAGGGCCATTAGTAAGGCGTCCCCTACATCAGGCCGGTATGCGTAATATTCGTCCCCCTCAGGGAGTGGGGCGTCCTCGTCCCAATAAGTGAATACGGGAGCAGAAACATGTTTGTGTATGCGAAAACTGGCTGTGCGATTTGCCACATACCCAGGTAGCATGGTTGCACTGCAACTGCGATGAAGAGAAAGAGTGGTTGTTATATGACCTATCGGTCTGTTGACAACCCTCATTAAAATTGTTCCCTCAGCACACAGGTTGGAATGTTTATACTGCCTATAATGTACAAAGTCTGTTCTATAACCTGTCGGCCTGCGAACAGCGACAAAATATGGGAAACATGCAGGTCACCCTGCACGCCCCCTAGCCTGGCCCCCTCCGGCCATCCAACCCCGACCTCCCCGAGGGTGCTGAGGACGTCGTCCCCGTGCACGTACACAACATGGGGCTCTAGGGGGGTTGACGAGAGGGCCGTCGCTCTCCACTCTCTCCCCATTCAGAATCGCAATGGACATTGCATTCATATGTCCAAACTGTGTGCGAGAACGGGGCCCGGCATACCTAGTATTTTTCTGGGCCCACTTTAGCATGGCCTGCCACATGCACAGTCACACACAAGCTCATTTCAGCGTGTACTTTTTGTACTGCGATCAGTTGACACATGCGCAATAGGAGTTCTTCCATTCTCAAATGCCTGAACCAATTCTTGTGCATTTGCAACTGCTTTTGCTGATTCCCAGCTGTTATGCTCATGGCCATAACCCAGCCATTTGACAAGGTACTCTACGGAGTCCTGTCGTCGGCCACGCTTTTTAATCCTTTTATCCAGGATGCGTTCAACTTCATATTCCAGTTCTCCTTCGATTTCGATAGGAACTGAGGGTGGCTACACTCTACCACTAGCCTTACATAACTTAATCTTCAATACATGAAATACTGGATATATCTTATGCATGCTTTCCATTAGTTCCAGTCGATATGCGACATAACCTATCCAGTCGAGGATGGTGAAGGGCCCAATCCACCTCGGTAATAACTTTCGAGTTTCAGGGTGTTTTAGGGTAATATATTGTGCCGAAAGGAGGACGTCATCTTCTTTATTAAAAGACACATCCCTCCTATAGCGGTCAGCATGCTTTGGCTGCCTATCTCGTGCTTTTTCTAAGCACGCCCTAGCCTCTTTCGGCGCTGATT